CGGAGTCGGTGCGGCGGATCGTCTGGCGCCACGACGGCGCCACCATCCGCGCTGAGTACACGCCGTCTACCCTCAAAGGTCACCAGTGCTACCGCTTCTCCGCGGCCAACACCAGCTACCTCTTTATCCACAACGTCGGCCGCGACTCCGGCGGGACGGTGGAGTGTCTCCTGCCCTGCGGACCCGACGGTGACCTTTGCGTACTCCGTACGCAGCACCTGCAGCTGGAGCCGCCCAAACTGCGCGCCCAGGACGTCTTCATACCGCCGATGCGCAGCGTGTCCGCACCGAACGGGAGCTTCTCCATGACGTGTGCAGCGGCCGCGTCGACTGCAGCCAGACTCCGCCGGTGTCGCTCTTCATCTGGAAGTACGACAGGTATTTCGAGGCGGCGCCCTTTCCCAACCTGCTAGGCGGAGACATCCCCGGTCTGATTAACGGCTCCGTCACCTTTCACCTTTCGGCGCCCGGCGCTGCCGATCCCTTCCGCGCCGGCATCCTGTCCTTAACCATAAGGAAGGAGGCCGCTCCCCGGTCGGCGCGGGAGGACTGCTGGCTCCGCCCGGTTTGGTCGGTCTTGGTGATCTTAAGGCGCACGACGACTTGGTTTCCGCAGTCCGTCAAGTCTTCAGGCATGAGAGTGTGCTGAGGGCCGTATCGGTTTTCCCGTGGGCTGGTCACTTCGTCGATACGTAGGAAACCGAAGTACAGCATGGTGACGGCCTACAGCATCGACTGTTCGAACGGGGAGATTCCGATTCGGCGAAGGTTGTGTTTGAGGCGCCGCAGTATCTGCAGGGTCACAGGCTGGCGTGTGTCCGGGCGCGGGGCAGCTAGGCGTCGGTAGCCTTGCAGTGCCCGCACCACGAGGTCGTGATCTGTGGGTGATTTCACGTCGGCTTCGCGATGGCGGTTGTGGATGCCGGCGAGGTACACAGTAACGGTCCGGAACGATTTCTTAGTAGTGAACAAGTGAGCGACGTACAGTATTCGGCAACGGTGTCCGGTACTGCCGGCAGGCAGTTGACCGATCGGCGGTTACAGAACGCTGCGAACTGGTTGAATGCGGCGTCGTAGGTCTTCCTTGTAGACTCGGAGACTTGGTCGGTTAGCAGCCAGTCGAGGTTGACTGTTCGCCGTACGTTTCCAGTAGCTGCGGGAAGATATCCGGGCACGGATCCGGTTGCTCCAGCGCTGATGGTGCGAGCGTTCGGAATCTGTGGTGCTGAAAACGAGACAGAGAGTCAGCGATCGCGTTGTTAATGCCGCGTATGTGCTTTAGCGTGAAGGTCATGTTAGCAGAGGCGGCAGCCGCCGTCATGCGACGCATGATGTCCAGTACGCCGGTGTTGGCCGAACGTAGGTTTTCTCATGCTAGCGTGGCGCCTTCGTTATCACAATGGAAGATCACTCGCTTTCCGTGCAGCCTCGAGCCCCAAACAATTAAACTGAGAACTGAGAAGTATGGGGATCAGTTCTAAATACTCGATGCACGGCATTTGCAGGAGGATCCACTGCGGCCAGCGAAGTTGAAACCAGCGAAGTTAAACATCAACGATTAACGCAAGAGAGCTCAAATGGCAAAACTGGAATGATTCAGGCAGTTGAGATTTAAGAATCTGTCAGACGTTACGGAACTAGATAGCGCCCGTGTGCAAACAGGCAGAGCGGAAGCAAAATAGGTCAAGCAGACGGCAGCGACGTCTGGAAGAGCTGGGCGGCCAAACAGCGGCCACCTGGAATTTAACATCAATTAGCGCGCAAATTGTCCTTCAACTCCGCTTGCATATAGACTATAGAGTCAATTTGGTGGGTGCACGGCGTGCGATTTGTTGAATAACTCACAAGAAATTCTGCTAAACCACTTATACGTGTCTACTTTTATTACTTACTTACGTAGACGATGGTGGAAAACTATCAACACGACTGTAATAAAATTGACGAGTGTCGGACATTAAGGGCGGTTGTTGCGGTGGCAGGCGTTCTCCATGGTGGACCGCAACGAGGAAGCGGTTACGTATGCTTATAAGAACACGTACGCAGTAAGCACAAAAACTTCATTCAATATTTCGCCCAGCGATTCGATTTATTAATTGCAAGGATAACAGTCATAACAGTGCCGTTCTCTTGCCTTTACGATGTGCATGTTTTCTTGGTTTTACACCCGACTTATATTTTGTGATTCGAATGATGATCCACGTTCTCCATGCTATGCACGGGCCGCCTAGACAGCTGTCGCCAGACGGAATCCAAAGCCCACTTCATTTGGAAGGCACAAATTGGAAATAAAATTTATACTTCCAAATAAAGTGGTGTTTGGGACCGTTGTACCACCGTTGTAGGTAAACGCTCAGTCTCTACGCGGCGCTCTGTCGCGGCGACGTCGTTGCATAATGATACGATGCCTTCTCAGTTCGGTTCACCGTTCAATTGTTAAGGCGGCCCCATAGTCAACCGTTTTCTGAGACGGAGAAAAGGTTTCTCGACGGGATGGTACTGACGGAGTTTTCGTGGTCACGGATTTCCCGCGACACGGTCACTCCGACTTCCCGTCCCGCCGTTGTGTCCGAAAGTTGTGTTCCTCATAGTTGTCCGTGCTTCGGCTATATTCTTTTGACAGGAAGTAGGCAACCGCCCGTTGCAACGGTTGGAAGTCACCGCCCAGGGCGGTTGAAGGCTGCATTATGGCAAGCCGGCATTAGGCTTATGGCAAGCCGAGTATTATCGTACGTATTATTAATTTGGTAACAAGTAATTATGCACTTTTTACTGTACTCGTATAATTTGTCAAATCTGAGAAACTAAATTTTTCATAAACTTTCAGTTTGGCAATCTACCCACTCACGGTAATTTTTGGCACAAAATACCTCACTAGTAGCTTTCCATATTAAATTTTATTGTTATCCCAAAATGCCTTGCAATGTTTCACACAGCTGCTCTGAATTCCGAGTTATTCGGTATTAATTTTTTTATACTGCTAATATTTGACGAGGCATTTTGCTACAATTTAATAAGCCGATGTAAAACTTACGTAAACTTTCCAAACGGCCCACAGATGGAAAACCATATATAATATGCACTACAAATTTACAAATATGGAAAAAAGTACGTACAGATGTAATTATTTTAGTAATTAAAATGTCTGTTTAACAAAAAGGGGGTTGTGTAAGAGTGCATTTATCATTTATGTAATAATTGGTACATATGTATAGGTACATGATATAAGTGTATTAATAATCGGGGCGTCCAGGTGGACACACTGGGCAGTGGCCGCTTGGGCAAACGTATGTATGATTGGGTGAAAAAAAACGGAGACTGTATTAGGGAGGAGCCATCCTCTCCTACACCGAAGTCGTCGAAACCACGAATTTCGACGTTTCGGTTTCAACACGACCATGCCCCCTCAATGGTAAAAATGGGACGGAGAGTCATCCGTAAGAATGGGACGGAGAGTCGGGGAATGGTGTCCTCATAGTTATTCGAAATTTGGACACCTTTTAGTCGAAACTGCCGTTTTCGGTGAACTGTGAGGCAGCCTTTACAGTAAGTGTTCGATTTTGTTGGTAATTAATTTCGATATAATATATCTGCAGCAGTACTGAACAGCAAGTTACCGTACTTCTACGTTGAAGCGTTTTCCAGTTTTCATTACAACATTTGTTTTTTCTGAAAACTGACTCAAGATGGACGATCTACACACTAATGGCTCTCGAACGATATGTGGACGCATATGAGTTTGGCGTAGTGCAGCAGGTCTTTTTCCGTCTTTGCTTGATAAGCCGGTCGGTTTCAGCTGACAAGGAAAACCAGCGCTTTCCCAACAATTCTTGGTAATAGTGTACATTTCTTTATGCCGCGCCCATCGTCCCTTGGTTGACTTATTGCAAGATAACCCGTGGTGTCCATTAGTTTCAACTTGCTTACCGATAACAGACTTAATTAGGCCGGTTTAAATACTTAATAACCATGGCTAAGATGTTGTACTAAAAAACAGGTTTGAATTACGCAGATCAGTTCCTGAACTTTAGATACTACTTGATAGACTTATTTTCGCCAAACTATCTGTAGCTTGTGGATTTCACGAGAATGACATGTGCGGGGTGTCAGTTCCCTCTTTTCTTCGCTAAGTACGGTAAAGCGATTATCGCAGGTATTTGCAAGAAAAAACAAAACAAATAGTCTGTCTGAAATAGCAACCTACCGACCTCCGGATGCCGGTAATATTTGCCGGTGTCAATCAGTAGATGTACTCGTACTACCGTTTCTGGCCGGCGGTGGAACTAATCGTAAGGAAAAAGCGCCGCGCTAACGGCACAGCTATAAAAGTCTGTAAATCGAGTCTTCTAGATGCAAACAACCCATTGTGTGAATATTTTTTGTCAGCTGTTTTAGTGCGATAAACAGGTGAAAATAGCCAAAGGAGGTGTGCAAAGGGTGTGACAAACTGACAATAGCCAAGAGGCGGTGTAAAAAATATTTTAAAAAAGGTGGTGCGAGGCGGTGGGAATAGCCACACCTAAAAAGACAAACCAAAACGGCTTTTCTCAATATCCAGTTCAGCATGTCCGGAATCAAGGTCGCATAATTTTGATTGGGAAAACGATGTGCTGGCGCAGTGCCCATGCACAAAACACTGCCGGGAAATCGGAAACTGCAAGGTGACTTTAAAAATAGTGAGAGTATTCAACACCGGTTGCATATACAGAGTACGTACTACGTACAGGAAAAATCAAATCAAGCAGGTAGTCAGTTTTTAACCGAACATTGTACATGGACGATCTGGCCGAAGTCCTTCCTCCTGTGAGGAGACAAGCGGCTCATGTACAGCGACAAAGTCTTTCAAGGATTTTCAACGTATTGCGCCGTGGTGCAGTGGTACTGCCTACGCTGATCTTACGACGTAGCCGGGCTTCGATGCCCCCATCGGTGCATTTTTCGGCCGTTTCTCGGTTTCCCTCGGATGGCGCCCTGCTGAGACTCCTAAGCAATGTCAGTAACACTGGCTGCAGCAGGCTGATGCAACGCGCTAGACACTGCCTGCCGGAGACGCTATGATCAAAACGGACGTAGTGGTGGTCGGGGGCTCTGAGGCGTCAGATAAATGCAGCAAACTGACGACAAAAGACAGCCCATACGGAAACACACCCGGCGTTGATCGTCTCCAAGACTAAAACGCCAGCATGCGTTCGGCCGTCTTAATCAATGAATGGCCAGGCCTTTCCTTTAACCCCAAGACCCCGTACTGGGCGTTGGCCAAGCCGGTGCACAATAGTAAATCAAACCAAAAATTGGTATAAAGTTAACCAAAAAAAGATTTCCAATATCTCGGTTTTAATGGAGTTCTGGCTACTGAGAGTGTAGAGTGATAATAAGTAATAATAATAATGAAAAATGCAATAAACGTACGAATGGCTGAACCAACCAGCAGTCTAATGAAGGGACCCCTTCAAGGCGCCTCTCCCGTTATCGATCCTACGTTCGCCAGTAGCGCCACAGGACCGACTGTGTTCGCAGCACCTTTTCACTGTCCCGGTATCGCAGCACGGAATGAGCCGGCCTTGGCTTGTCTTCCGTACGAGTGCGATAATCCTCTTCCCAGTAGCAATACACATCCTCGAACAACCTGCTCAGATTCACCGTGAACTGCCGGGACGACCCGTCGGGATACTGCAGCTCCAGCGGCAACTGCAACGGCTGCATGTAGTTACTGCCGTCGGCGTGGTGCTTGGCCACCAGATCAATGTCGAAGACGCGCCGGAGATCCTCCCGCGACATGGCCTGAACGTCGTCATTGCACAGCCGGACACAGTCGACCTCCAGGCCCCGTGACCTTTCGATCTCCGCCGCCGCACTGTCCTGGTGGCTGGCGCGAGGGAACGCGACGCGGCGAAACAGATACAGTGTCGCCCAGAAGGGGTCGTCGTCCCGCACCCGGGGACTGACGTGGACGGACAGACAGTACTGGACTTGGGTGCTCGGACCGAGGATGTCGGCGATCTGGATGAACGCCTGCAGGAGGGATTCGTTGCGGTAGGACACGCGGCCGGCGATGGGTGTCTTGGGACTCGGGGGTTTATTCGTGGGACGGAAGGGCGTGAACGAGTAGGCCACGAGTTCGCACACCAGATAATACACGGTGCCGCCGCCCAGGCGGTCAGCCACGTCCAGCGCCACCAACGCCAGCATAGGAATTGCAGCGTACGCATCGTCTTCCATTGCGCGCGTAAAGGCCGTCAACAGCGACCCGGTCACGCCGCCGGAGACCCCGCTGCCCAGCCGGGCCACCGCGTACACCCAGTGGGCGTGCACGAAGACGCGGCATTTCCCGCGGTAGTACTCCGGGTAGCGTTGCCAGTCGGAGGCGGGGTAGTCGCGGTGCCGGCCCACCGCGAAGGTCACGGTGGGGTCGAAGCGGCCGCTGCGGGTCAGCAGAGCCAGGGCGTCCAGGTCGCGGATCAGGGCCGGAGTCTCACTGATTTCTGTAGATACGCCGGACGAAGCTCGGGATTATGAAAATTTTCTCATGTTTTCTAATGTTTCCTTAGGTTTCTTAGATTTCTTAGATTTCTCACATACTGACCTGTAGTCTCGAAGAATTCCCCCTGCAGACCGGCGAGGACACGAGCCGCCAGCGATATCGTCGCATCCAGCGTCGAGAGGAAGTCGGACACGTCCGACTGCAACACACACGCATGACGCTGTTTATATTGACCGAACCGGCTTCCTATTGCTTACTGTATCGCGTGTCTGCAGCCGAGCCAACAGCGGCGTGAGGATGCCATCCAACTCCGAGTGCAGCTGCTGCGGAAGGATGTGCCGCAGGAAACGCTGGAGAATGTCCGCCGCGTCCACCACGATGCGTTTATCTTCTTCGCGGCACCGCTGCAGCGCGTCTGTCGCTGTTGGGGACAGTTCCCCCGGGGCGGTCAGCGTGGCCGACAGGACCTGAATGCGCGAGCGCTGGTCCATTAAAATCAGCTGGCACACCGACGCACACTGCACGCGCAGCCGCGTGGATAGCGCAACCACCCGCGGGGGCTGGCTTAACTGCCGCAGCCCCTCGCGCACCGCGGCGTCGGCCGTTGTCGTTGCACACTGCAGTGTCTCCATAAATTCGTCCATCGGGCCCAACTCGGCGGTCTGATGAGCGGCTTCATCTTCCGCAGTGCTATCTACAACATGCGCACCATACGTTCAAACGGAAGCATCTACGTTTTGCGAACGTGCACTGGAGATCTTTGGCTATTTAGCAGGCTAGAGTTTCGTTCGTTATCGGAATTAACCAGACTACAATGTATGACTACAAAACTAGTCGGTGGTTCAAGAAATTGCAGAGCTAGTCTGCCCAATGCCATAATGAAATCCGCAAACAGGGCGCAACCGCAACACATCCAGTGCACATACAGCGCCAGCACAGGGTTCGAACCGAGATGCGCTGGTTTGCGCACAATGTGTTCAACTAGGATCAACCCACCTGTTCTGGGCGGCAAGAGGCTGTCCAGTTTGGCCTTCAACTCGTCCACTTTCTATGCAACAGTTACTGCGCTGGTTACAGCAAAAGAGTGACTGAATCATACACACACAATCCCCAGGGATGTACCTACGCAGTATTTACTGAACCTGTGCGCAGTAGTGCAGCGAAGCCCTAGCCTTCGCAGCGGGGCTGCGAAGGTGAATGCGACGGCTACGGCCCATGATTCTGCGCAGCCCACTGGCCATGCTGCACGTCCCAACCCCGCGGGCGGGCCCCATGCACGCCGACAACATTGGCTGTCCGTTGTGGTCTCTGCCCGCACACAGGATCACATCTGGCTCTACTCTAGTGAGCTCTGCGCAAAGCACACTTCAAGAGGCACATAATCTTCCAAGAGGAAGCCCAAGCAAACCCCCCTGTGTCATGTAGGTACAGTAATCATCACAGCGCCCAGCGCTAGCGACACAAATTCCGCACTATCCAGATGTTCCTCCGTGGCTAACAAAACGGGTCACTTTCAGAGGCACTGCATTCCCGTCAAGAAAACTCCCAATCAAGAAAAGGCAGATTAGCAGATAGCACTAGGAACAACCACAAGAAAACCTGTTGGAGCGTTAAATTTTGCAAAAGAGTGAAAAGACTCTGAAAAAATTTTCCAAAGCGCGCAGAACATGCGCGTCAGAGCGAGAGCACTAGCAGGCTGTGTGAAAAATTAATCTCCTACGTAAACGCGCCCTGGATGCAGCGCGCCACGGATAGTGTCAGTCACCATGGCAGCCGCCCGGAGCGTCTCACATCTTCAAATTTATTCCTTACGATTAGTATCATTCCTTGATACAGTTGAAATTTCAATTTTTCCTTTGATTGTTTTATTCTGAGGGGTGCTCGTTGTTGTACATTTGGAACTACTAAATTTATCAACGTCGAAATTTATGCATTTCCAATATCAAGAGCCAGTTACACTTCAACAAAACCACATTTTCCACAGTACCAATAACAGCGGCATTGCCTCTTTGAATTGCTAAAGAAATATTCTGCCTTAAAAGTTAGAAGCTCCTTAATTGTACGGTTTGCCAGTTGCGTGTAGTTCCAACTTCCATGTACTTAATAAACGGAAGTTGACACAAATTGCTTCATAGAATTTGTAATAGATTGTTTAATAAATCTCACGCAACGCAAACTCCACAGTTCATCCCTAAGAAAACACCCATAACGAAAGCAAAATGACAAAAAAATTAAATTTCGGCCATTGATCATATCGGACAAATTCTCCAACGTGTCAGCGATAAATTAACAGGTTTGGAAAGCTTTAAAATCACACGAAAAGCAATACTTCAAAGCCGAGCGAGTACATTCTATGCGAGATTAACAGGGGAAAATAAATAAATTAAATAAAATCTAGGGGAAAATAGAGAGCTGTTTGATCGAGAAAAAATTGATCTGTCTTAAGATGTCGTCGTGTTGGACGGCGTGTCGGGGTCGAGTAGATCGTGGGGCGCCTGCAGTTTCGTGGGGAAGAGCTCGAGGAGGCGGAGGATGCCGCCGTTGGTCCAGCCGAAACCCTCCTGGACCAGGTACTCCCCGCCGCTCCCGTACCGTCCCACCGTCCGCGCGTCATACTGCACAACCAACAATTTCACATCAAATAATTACATTTACAAATAATTAACCACTAGTTTATTTATTATTCAGTTCCCGAGCTGAACTAATTTACTAACAATTATTTTAAACCAATTTACCAATTAAATTGAATTTATTAAGAATTCTTTCTACTAATTAACAACTGTCGGTCAATTCCTCCAACCAGGATAGCCAAAAATAGACACATAATTATATTTGATAATAAATAACTGCCATTCGATTTATCAACTGTTAAATTGATTTTTAGTTATTTTATTAGCATTTTTTGATTAATTAACAATCAAGCATCGGTAAATTCCGATAAACCGGGTTATTGATAATTATTTTACTAATTAACAACTGTCGGTAAATTCCTCCAACCATGACTGTCAAAAATAAATAAATCTAATTAATAATAAATAACTCCCAATTAGTTTATTGATTATTAAAATTAATAGATTTTTGGTTGGTTTGTTATTCTTTTTTTTGCTAATTTATAATTAAGCGAATTCGGTAAAATTCGTGTATATCGTGATTAGCGGGAGAAAAAGGCAGCTGACCTTTTCGTAGATGTGGCTGCTGTTCAAATAGCCGATATGCACCACGGAGATCCACTTTTGCGCCCATTCCAACGCCACCTGCTCCAGCTCGGGATTCTCGTTGAACGCTACGACGAAGTGTCAAGGACCATTGCTGGCTGATTTTTCATTGATTCAGTCTTTTACTTATTCCATTTTTTTTATCATTTAAATTTAATCAAATTTTCTGCAGAATTTATTTCAATTCATAAAATATTAAATCGGACGGCTCAATTACTTTCAATTTGTGCGGCGGTTATTATTATTTACTTTATTTGCGCATTTGTCTTATTCTATTGCTTAATTGATTTTTTAAATGAAATACATAATCATAAATAATAATTTTAATTTAATTTGTTGTCATATTATATTGTCAAGCCTAAATGGCCTAATTGAATTTTAATCTTGTCGATAAACACATCCGTTACCTTCGATCATCATGAGCTGCAGCGGCGGCCAGGCGTTGGGGAAATCCCACTGGCAGTGCCGACCGGATGATTCGTTCAGCGAGACGGGATGCCCGCCCGGAAATGACGTCACTTTCACCATCTACCGGCACCGCATGCATTAATATTTTATACATTTATTTTAATCAAGTGAACTGATAAAAAAAGAATATGTGTAGGCAATTAAACATAAAAACAAATAACAAGAAAAAAGTAGTAAAAAAATAATTTAAAAAAATAAAAAATATAATAATGAAAAATAATAAAAAAATAAGATTAAAAAACAATAATAAAAAACAATTAATAACTGGGAAATGATAATTGTACAGTTACGGTAAACAAAAAATTAACTGCTAATATTGTTCAATCATTTTATTTTAATGGTAACCGGCAACTTGACATGAAATGTTTTTTAGATCTCGATAACTACACGGTCAAATCGTCTGAAACTGGACATTTAATTAATTGATAATAAATGAACTGGTTAGCCAGCGCCGACGGACTCACGTCGGCCGACTGCAGGACATTCTGCATAAACGCCGCGTTGGTGATGCTGATGGTTTCGCCGTCGCAGCGCGCGAACAACGGCACCAGATTCGACAGGTAGAAGGCCTCCCGTTGCCGGCCCAATTTCAGATCGTAATCGCGCCACATTTGATGCTCGTCGCTCCAGAACACCGCGTGGATCCCGTCGCCGCGGCGCAACGCGATCCGCATGTATTTCTCGCTGTTCTCACTGTCGCCTGCCGTACAAATATACAAATTAATTCAGGAAAAATAACTAAAATAAAAAAATTTATATAAATTAAGAAATAAATAAAAAAATTATTTATCGTTATATACAAAATTAAATTTTTGTTGTTGCTGATTATTCAGTTAATTATTACACGTACTGCAGTTTTTGATTAAGTGGTCGGTCCACTAAGAAATAAATAAAATTAATAAAAATAATGAAAAATAACTAATTATTCGTGAAGTTGTTGTTATTATTTAATTGTGAAGCAGTCGCTTTACCCAGCCGCATGTATAATTCGCTGAGGACGCGTTCATGGGCGTAGAGGAAGGCGTTCAGATCCACCGGGATGATGGTCTCTGTGCGCATCGTCAGAAAATCCTCGCCGGCGTTCTCCAGCCAGCGCGTCGAGAAATCCAGCCCGCTCTCCGCCGCCGCGGCGATATTCCCGTAGAAACTCTCCGCACCTGCATCAACACAGGCAAAAACCAATAAAAAATATTCACCATAAAATAAACAAAATAAAAATAACAACAGAAGAAAACGAACAAACAGTAGAAAACAAATAATCATACATACGATTAAAATATCAAAAAATAAAGAGTAAAAATTAAAGAAAATTAACACAAAATAACGATAAATAAATATCGAAATCACAGATAATCCTAACATAAACCGTAAAAATTGAAAATAAAAATCATAAATAAACAACAACAAAACCATGATAAATAAAAAGGAAGAAAAAAGAAAGAAAACAATAAACGAATAAATAATCATAAATAAATATCCAAATCACAGATAATCCTAAAATAAACAGTAACAATTTAAAAATAAATAACCATAAACAAACAACAACAAAACCACCATAAATAAATTTGTAGGAAAAAGAAAGAAAAACATAAACAAGAAATAAAGAATGATAACAAATAATAATTAACAAACCTCATAATAATTATGAGGTCTAGTAAAATAAATGAAAATATATATACAAAAAAGGAAAAAATTTTAAAAGTAATTCCGCGCCCGACACATACTTTGCAGCTGCATCTTCTGCAGCGTCTCCCCATCGTGGAAATCCTCCCAGTAGGATTCGGGCCGCGGCACCTTGCAGTCGCCGCCCGTGTAGCGGTTCATGGTGAAGGTGCCGCCGGCGACGCTGAGCTCGACGCTGCGTTCGCGCATCCAGAACTCGTACTCCTGCAGCAGCGCCGGGAGCACCAGCGGGATGAGGGAGGCGACATCTTCGCTTTTAACCGCCTCGTGGTCGCAGTAGTGCTGCACCATCAGCGCGAAGAGCGGCGGCTCGCTGCGCTTCGTGTAGTAGATGCGGTTCCCGTTGGGGATTAACCCGAAGCGCTGCTGCAGATGCGCAAAGTTCAGCAGCATCCCGCGGGCGGTTTCTGCCATCCCCGACACCAATAAACCCTAAGGAAATATTGAAATTATTAATCTCCACTTTTTATATTCAATTACATTTAATTTTCCAATTAAAATTAATTTTAATCTATTTATTAAATTTGTTTACCAATAAACCCTAAGGCAAAAATTAAAATTATTCATCCAGAATTTTTTATATTCAACTACATTTATTTCCCAATTAAAATTAATTTTTTATTAAATTTGTTTACCAGTGAACCATTAGGAAAAATTAAAAATTATTCATCCACAATTTTTTATATTCAATGATATTTAATTTTCCAATTAAAATTAATTTATTTATTAAATTTTCCATCAGTAAACCGCAAGGAATAATTAAAATTATTAATCTAGAATTTGTTATAATTTATTTTTCCAAATAAAACAGTTTTATTTAGTAACTGAATTTATTTTATGTAATAATTTTTAATAACTTTATTTACATTTTTATTTTAAGCAAGTTAAAATTATCTGAACTGCATTTACGTTCAACTGAAAATACTCTCCAATTAAAAACTAAATTAGAAAAAAAACGTGAAATCGGACTCATCGAAATAAGAAATTATAATTAGAGCAAATGTGAAACGGCTTATTAAATTTTCATCGGTTAAGAAAAAGCAAGTAATCAAAAGCGAAAATGGTTACAATCGAATTTAGTATGAAGTGCGATATGCAGTTAAATATAAAATTAACCAGAAAAACACGAGAATATGGCAAACACATAGCGCAATGTACGGGTTTAAAGGAGACAGATCGTAGTTTGATGGCTTTTCAATGCTTGACTTCTGCAGTGAACGAGCGATAATTGAGATGATAACAAGTGCGAAATCAATTTAAAAAATCTTTTTTTAATGTCAAACGTAAAAACTGAATATGAAATCAATATAAAATTCCGTATGATATGAAAAACCTAATGTGCAGTCAAATATGCAAATTCGCAACAATATATGCACATAAATTTACGTATTTTTAATTTAAACTCTATTTAAATACAAATTTTACAGTTTAAAAATAAGAAGGTAAGATTCGAGTATTTCTGAGAAATAATTAATTTGAAAATTTGGAATAAAAAAATTACAATAATAATTAATAACTGGAATAATAAAAAAAATACAAAACAAATAATACAAAATACAATAATACTGGAATAATACAAAACCATAAAAACAGAAAATAAAAAAATGCCAAATATGAAGAAAACCGACACCGTAGACTGATTGAAAGTAAATATATACGGGAAAAATGTGCAGTGAAATAGTAATGACAATATGAAGTTATGAACTCTAATCACTCATGGAATTAATTATCAAAGAGATGAATTAGAATTCAAATAAAACTGAATTTCTTCGGAATTAATTCGTCATAAACTGCAGTATAAAATTTAAATGGTATGCTAACAAGAAACAAAATCGCGAAAAATTTTAAAAAAAAATTCTTAAAAGCTACCTGGATCGTCCAGAAGGAGTCCCAGTAGTACACCTCCCGAAACCTCCCCCCGGGAACGATAAAGGGATAGGGCAGGGGGATGATGGTGTGCCGGTCGGGATGCTTCGCCACCTCCGCGCTCACCTTCCGCCCCAACTCCCCCCACTTGTGGTGCAGCTTCTCCGCGAACGTCCGCAACCGTTCATCGGTGATTTTGTGGTACACCGGGAGGCCCCCCGCGGCTACCTCCCGAAAATCCCCCGGGATCACTGTCTCCAGATCCGACCCGGGCGGTCCGAAGCACTCCTCGACGAAGTTGCGCAGATCCACCTGGTTGATCTCCGGCCAGGTGCCCAGGGCCGCGAATTTCTCCAGAGCGATGTGAGGATCGACGAGAAGCGGCCGATCGACGAAGGACTTGGAATCGGTGAAGATTCCCGACATCTCCACGGCGTGGAGGAGCGGGCCGCGGCAGAAGACCGGGTGGTCCATTTGGGGGGAGGGGGGTGTGGGGCAGGGGTCGGCGGACAGGCGGCGGTACAGGGTGTAGAGGATCTCCAAACAGGAGTAGGCTACGACGAGGAAGAAGACCAATGAGTGGATGAAGATCACCACGCAGAATAACACTGCGTTCTTCACCCAACGCATCGCACTGTGCACTGCATGGCAGTTGTTAGGCTGGAGATTTTGTTAGAAAAATATACTGGCGAGATTAACCAATGTTTTTTGCACAGATCTGACCAGATCGAAGTCTCCAGAATCTCAAAGAAAAATTAGGGGAGATGCGTCGCGGAATTGTTCAACACTGCTCCTCGTTATTTTCGTGGGGAAAATACCGTGAAGTATTTGCGTTTTGGTTAAGCAAGCTGCCTGCGAGAGTGGTTGGTAGTGCGACAGCGACAGTTGGCGCTGAATGCATCCGGGGCGGTTGACACAAGGACAGCTTGGTTTGCGGATGCCGTTTTTTGTCAAAATATAATTTTGTCAATCAAGTCAACAAAATACTTTGTCAAAATTCCGTCAGTAAAATGTGAAACGAAATTACAGGTAAACTACAGACAAATTACATTGCAGAACAAGCTCCGTCAACTAATGCTGATAAAATCAGTGAACTCAAAAAGACCCGAAAACATCATTTAATGCGTCAATGTCATCAGATTAAAACAGATTTGTTTTACCAAAAAGCGAAGCCATGCACTACGGAAAAATTAAATGAAAACCTTTCCAAATGGTTAAACGCATTGTATATAAGTAGGAACTGCTTGCCCGATAATTATCTAAGAATAAAAAATTACTCTTCCATGGCGTGTTATGAGTTACAGCCAAATCACAATGTAATTTCCATCAATAGCTGTGTCAGACATATTCAAAGCAACCGCGGATAGCAGATAGTGATACTGCATCAATTGCGTTAGTAATATTAAAGTAGTACAATATAAGCGACTGTAGCTCCGCCGTTTCGGCAGATAATGCTGGACGACAGCCATCTGAAGCCAGCATCCGACGCATGTCTTTTCAGGCAGATATGAAAACGCATACACCAACGGCTGGCTTCAATTCCGACTGCATCCCTTAATTTTAATTCGGGATCGAAGAAGCATCGCCTCCAGGTTACGTAATTAATACCAGGAAACTGCAAGAATCCAAGCGGCCGCTTCCACGATGGTCAGTCACAACGCCAGTAACTAGAAGTTTGATTAAAATGAAGCTGTCGATAAACCATCCACAGAACAGAGTGGAAATGCTGGATCGACTCTCTTCGGCAGTGGATTCATCGCAAGGTCCTTCATAACTGCCACTCACTAATCCCGCTCGCAGACGTGGCTGCCGCAGACTTTTACTATTCACGTTGGATATAATGACAGACAGACTGCAGTTTGGCAGAATCAATTCAATTTGGCAGAGACCGATAGGTTTCCAAAGGTCACGACCATCTTGTAAGCAATGCGTGTGTGCTTCATGCGTTCACCGATCGGCTGTAATTTTCAACAACTGCACAAGAAATGGCCAGAACAGGAAGTAGAAGGCACCCATCAGATTACAGCATCCGTTGCTACTGTGCCGATTTACCGCGTGTGACAATTAGCAATAGAAGTATATCAAGCGGCACAACTGCATATTGTATTACAATGTATAGAAGAAATTTATAAATCTCCTTATACGTCTATATATGCACCGGTGTTAGCCGTAAGATAGCTGATCAGATCAGCGCCTCGTCCGCTGTATCGATCAGTATCACGGGATATCTCAGCGTTGACAATGTACCTAGAAAAACGTGTATAGAGGTGTGCATCAGACTAATGGAGACTCGCGGTGGTTGCGAACCACATTATTACACAAGCGGAGCGCCAACACCACTGGGAAATGGTATTGGGATTGGGGAATTGGCAAAGCGTGACGTACGCTCTTCGTGGCTTCAGACAAATTTTATGCTCTTGACGAAGACTTACTGCAGCACCTCGCGCTTCGCGCTCGATGTAAAAAATACCATTTGTACAGCGGTACCTACGACTTTCATTCGGGGTTGAGCACGCTGTACGATACTGTGCGACGTCTGCGGAGTTAACCACGTCAACAGGCTCCATGAATTTCCGTTTCCATCAGTACGAGAAATTCAACCGGAAGATATCAGTTGATTTAACAGTTTTGTTTAATAGCATGTAAAGAAAAGTTGATTCTGGCTCGGGTTTTCCCTTGTTGTATATGCGGCATCAGCCCGCACGAAACAGCCGCATCGCTAATTTTCCCCGGTCAGTATTCGCTAAGGGATGGTTTGATTGAACGGGCAGGAATCAGACGGACCTGCCTGGCTCCATCAAATTGACCTTTCGCCGCGCTGGCCAGCGCGCTGACCATTCGGACGTATATTACAGCGGATGAATGCTGTCTAAGCGGTTGACCATGCTGTGGCAGCCTGTAAATCCAGCTGAATCCTGAAGACTCCTGACTAGCGTAATGACTGCGCACACGCGGTAAAATTTGATCACAAGTTTCCCATTCTGTCTCTAAACCTGATTTTACTTTTCCTTCTTCTTCGGTTCGTGCGGGATGTTTTGATCCTGTTTTTCTCCATTCCGATAATCGCAAATTACTAATGATATAAGCTGATTTTGTGAGCTGACATCTTTTTCCGGCCGGGTATATTATACATATAGTCGCCATCTCCCTCAAAGCGCGAAATAATCGAACTTCTAGTTGAGATGTTCCAAGAACACCGCTTTAATATATAGTACATATAGTATTTTTTCGTAAATTTTAATTTTTTCCTACCTAACTTTACTCAGCTCACGACTCGGTAAATTATAACTTATGGATCCATCGATCAATATTAGACGGGGTGCTTCTTTTTTCGCTCCCAAGGTCAATATCACAAAAAATTTATATAAAACTGAATCAACACAGAGGCAGAGTTTTTCTAGGCAGTACGCAATAAATCCACGGTACTCCAGATTTTCAATCGGGTTAATTAAATTCCGAATGCGCTCCTGATGCCGATCCATATACACACCGTTGTGTACCGGCACTGTACTTGCAGTTGTATGGTAAAAATTAATTTGATCTGAATTGATTAACGATGAACCGCGCCGGTTCAGGACAGTGTATCCGCTTCCTCTTTCGGGCTGTGTGGGTGGACCATCGACGCGCCGGTTTTTTCTCCGGCTGTTCCCGGGCGTTTTCGCATCAGTAAGCGTTTCGCCGCTTCCCGTAATTCCTCGTTCATCGCGTAGAATAACACCTACAGCCATGAAACAAATTCAAAAAAATATACTTTTTCATTTAGCAGCCATCCAGCCATCCAGCCAAACAAAAAATATACAATAATTACAAATTATAATTTAAAACTAATTAATAATCAATTACATAGTATTTCTTAATAAAACTAAAATTAGTTATAAACTTGTTGGGATAACACTAGCAAAATTTTAATAAAATTATAAATGATATTTAAATGGAATTTAAAAACTAAGATAGAATATTTTTAATAACTTACATTTAAATAAATTTAAAAATCAACTTAAATTTTATTAAATTATCCATACTAATATTTTATCATTACATATTTTTCAGTTCCTTCTACAGAGATACCTATCATTCATAATTTTAAAAATGTTTTGTTAGTATTATCATAATAAAATTGAAGTTGATTTACTGATTACCGGCGTGGAGAGATATCCGAGGAAGAAGACACCGCGCAGCCACTGCAGCGTCAGCATCTCATGGAAGACCCATCCGGGCAGCACCGACAGGAAGAACGGTACCGAGGCGAAGCACAGACAGTGGACGATCCAGTTAGCGAACAGCATCTTCGTCAGCAGCACCCGCTTGCGGTAGGCCACGCTGACCTTTGCCGGCGCCGGGGCGGTCGCGTCCACCCCGTTCCGGTGGAGACTGGTAACCGCCACCCGGCTGAGGACGATGATGTGCGTGACCCCGGTCAAGGCCAGCGGTAAATACACTCTCAGCACCGAGCCAATCACAAACACCTCCCCTTGGTGGGCGAAATTACACAATCCCAAGGGCGGTTCCGCCACGAAGCGATTGTCACCTGGATTGGAATTCAAACAGTTTTTAGCCGCTTTTATAATTAATACAAATAATATTTGAAAAACGTATTTTGTAAAATTAATTTTCCGAACATTTTCTGATATAAATTAAATAAAAATAATAATAACTAATGATGTCTTATTAATTTTCAACAGTTTTACGTAGGCGCTGCCCGGTTGCAACGGGCAAGCCTAATATAACATATGGCAGACGACGTAGTCTGTCTATCATCATCACTATATAATAATCGCGGAAGCCTTAGCGAAATTCCCACTCTGTCGAGTTCGCCCGCAAGATCCACTGAACCAAACTTCCATGTCAACGTGTCATTAGACAGCCCTTACTGCGTAGATTTGCCATCGCAAGTCAGTGTTTAAACAAAAACAAACGTTTGAAAGAGAATCTCAAAAAACTTTAACATAGAAAGCCAATGGAAAGAGTCGAGTATCCACCACTGCAAAACTGACCACCCCACCACTGTCTCGGCAGCTTAAACGCGTTTTGGCCAACTTTGCTGGGATGGGAGGAAATCTCTTGAATTATGACCACGTATTATTCCGTAGTCATGATTCTCGAATGAAATTATAAGTTTTTCTTAAACAAATGGCGTCAAAGAAAGTGAAATGTTCATGTAGGAAAGACCTAACAAATTCTATGAGTATGAAACAGCTCAAAACTGTTTCTCAGTGAGCTGCCGTTCGCAGTGGTTTGACCAGTTTAAAGGCAACGTTTTCACGTGCGGTCGCCATTGGTACTGATATGCCGTTGAAGGCAAAAATTTGCAATGACTTCCGACTCGCAAGTTGCGATTACCAGGACTTCCCGCTACCTTTGTTTTCTATGGAAAATGATGTCCGAAAAAGATGGTACTGCGTGTTTAGAGAGGATGATATTGTATGTTTAGGGACAGTAACATACATACAGAGTACATAGCTAACAAGTTTTTTATTTGGGTGATTGCTTAGGAGGTAGTTGCTTAGCGGTCGTTAGGCGCGTTATCCAGGGGAATGCTTCATTGCTGAGAACGAGAGAATTTGCGAAACTTGAAGCAATCTGGTTAGTTTTTAATAGAAGACGGAGCCGCAGGCGACGCCGAGCTGCGGCGCGAGCGGAGCTTGCGGAGCAGCATACGAGGCAACATACATACTTTACATTTCCTACTAAACGAACGATGACAGAAGATTACGAAATATTAAAATATTTTGAAATGGCTGTTTATGTTTTGTAAAAAGTAATTTACCGTTAGTTGCGTTGTGAATGCAGCAGAAAAACCAACTGAAAATCGTAAAATGTTTTGGTAATTTGATTGTCAGGCGGGAGTGTTTGATTCAGGCAGTAGTATTTCTAGACTGCCACTGCAGGTCTAATGCCTAATGGTATCTGTACATTGAAATTCGAAACAGCGCGGCTGAGCGCGCGAATCGCGATGGTAAAAAAGAGCAGGTAGATAATTCGTGTTTAAATTGCAGAGCTAATATTTTGTAACGGGGCAAATAATCTGAAATTTTTAATGATACGAGTAGTTAATTAGTTGTTTACTGTTGTGGTGCGAAGGATTCGTTCTGTAGAGCTAAGTCGAAAGCCGGTCCATTTCCGGGAAGAAAATTGGACATTTTCATATACTCATGAGCCCTGTCTAGGGTTGTCCTGGCAGTCCAGCGAAAATACAAAAACAGTAACATAATAATTCTATGATTTCCTCATATATGTAGAAGTAGTTGAAAACAATTATTTTTTTTGCATTGAATTGTTCATCTCTTATTTATTCCGCGCAATTTGCGCGGGGTCTACTAGTGTAATAATAATATAACCACCGCCTACGTATTCAGTTCCTCTACAGAGGAATTGTCACGAATGTGTTTTTTCATCGCATTTAGGTGAACCGGCAATCAATTTTATTAAATTCTCATCGGAATCTATTGAAATAATTATTCAAAAATTAATTACATTTTTTAATTCAATACGTTATTATTATTCAAATGTAATTATTCAAAAAATAATTTTAAAAAAAAATATAATTTTAATTTAAAAGCATTCAGATTATTTTTGTAAACGTTGTTATTATTCAAATGGTATTGTTTTCGAAATAATTCAAATATAATTCAAAAAATTGGGTTTTCAGTTTAAAAGCATTTCAGTTTTTATAATTGAACCGCATCAGTTCTTGGAGCGTTTTAAATTTTGATTTCCAGAATATTCACCTGTGTCCACATAGAACGGGAGGTGGACGAAAATTCCCAGCAACCAGCAGGCCACCAGCTGCGCCAGGAGGAACCGTTGCCGAGTGAAGCGAGGGTACGCGTGGGGGAAGATGATGGCGATGAAGCGGTTGAAGGACAGCGCAAACAGTCCCCACAGGGTGGCGGTGAGGCTGATCATATAGGGAAACATGTAATGCCGGCAGAAGCCGTCGCTGGCGAAGAGACGGCGGTGCGCCAGGAGGATCTGGACGAGGAGGAGGGGCCAGTGTACCGAGACCATGAGGAATTCCGCCAAGAATTGGTGGCAGAGAAGAAAATGCGAGCCGGAGGAGGAGCGGTGCCGGCGAAAGGTCATGGTGATGAGGAGCAGGTAGAGGACGACGGTGGTCAGGCAGGCCACGCTGGACACCCCCAGGTAGGCGGTCAGCTGGGCGGTGTCCAGGGAAGCAGTGGAGTTGTTGGTCCACATTGTCGGTTTGTCTCAACATAGATAATCCACTTTATTATTATTATTATTACGGCACAAGAGCAGACAACCCCGAAGGGACTTCAAGTCTGGTCGAACAAAAACAATTTTCTGCTAACAAAACATTTAGGAGAGTTTAACAGATCTGAGCAGGAATTTGAAAGAAGGTACAGAACTGGCTTCGAGAATTTTAGGATTTATTTTATTAATTTTAGGACTTAATCAATAAGACTGCCAAGAGGCAATAATAAGTTAACAACAATTCCGGTCCTCGGTATTTTCATATATACCATTGCAGCAAAAAACTTCTCTTCTCAGTTCGAAATCCGAATAATTAAATCGACAACAAGCAGTGCGCATAAACTGCCGGCACCGGGTTTGAACAGAGAAGCGTGGATTTTGCGCCTTGAAAATGATGCATATCCACGTTTGCTGTTATGCATTTGACGACCATTGGCTATTTCGCTACCGTAGAGTCCCGTTCGCTATCGGAATTAACCAGACTCCAAATACCGGAAATCAGCCAGCCGGTTTGCGGCTCAGAAATTGAAGATTAAAATTATAAAATCAATAAAACTTGTGCGTGTAACAGAAGCACATCGGATATGCATACAGTAAATCGCCGGCAGCAGGTTCAAACAGGGAAGCGCTGTATGTGTTTTTTTGCAGTCCTGCATTGAACTGTTTCAGCATCGGTGAGATTCTGGACTATTCAACTCCAAAACTGAATAAATTTAACTGCGAAATTACATATCGGTCACGTAAGCAATATATGTACCGGTGTTCACCAATAATATTATGGAGTTTGATCGCAATTTACACGCCTGTACATTGTTGTAAAATAGGTGTGGGTGTGCAGTACGATCAGTACAACTGTGTATACATGCTTTTATACAAATCGATGCGCATCCTTATGTATTGGGAACAGGCGGCCATGATCCCTGGTTCGTTATGGCCATGTATGTTTATACAAACGGTGGTGCTTGTACATCCGGCGATTGTGGAGGAAAATGCTGACGACAAGTGGGCAAATATGCCGTTAATATCATTAGATTGCTATCCCCTGCATCACGTAACGCAATACCTTTTTACGCGTCTTTCACGGAACGTTGCACGACCAGGCGGAAGTCAACGATATACGTATACAGTACAACCGGCGGCACGGTAAGTTATGACGCCGGGATCCCACGCTCACACCGGAAGCGGCCGTCACTTCCGCTCGCATTGGAACGCCGAACATTTATTGGCATATTTGTATGCTACAAGTGTACGTGTATGTACACGTGAAGAAATGACACGCGCCGGAAGTACAAAATTGTGGTTATATGGCTGGTTATTTTTGTCTTATTGTTTTACTAATTACGCTTACATTCGTCGTGTAAGTGTATCGATCTCGATCATTATAATTGTTATAACTCGTTTTGATTAGCGCTGTATTAGAATTATAAATGTACACGTGACGTCAAGACGAGAAAAAATTAAAATTAAAATATAATATTACAGAATTAATGCTTATTTTCTACGAGTAAAAAGGGACTAGGATGTTGCGCAGGGATGGCGGTTATTAAGTGAGATGCGGCTGATTCTGGAAGAGGCCCTCCGTGGATTTGATGAGGGAGCGCGGCTGGTACGGGACGAGCGGCTTGGTCTGCAGTTGTTTGCGCGGGATGCGCACCAGTTTATTGTCGCCGACGGCGTGGCAAGAAGCTGCTCTGCAGATAAGACCGACACTTCAATTCCTACGATGCCAATATTATCTTAATTAATTTATACCGCCTACGCGTTATGTTGAAGTAATACACTGATTACAATGTTAATACATCAATAATTATACAATTTGTTACTAAATTAAACGGAAAATATAATGTATTAATTCCTGTAATATACAAATAATACGAGCATTAAAGTATTATTTTATCACCAAATAATGGACCTTTACGAATATTAGAATAGTTTATTTTATTGTGCTAATTACTATTACATTGTATTAATTTATATATTTGTTCAGTTGTATATAATTATCATTAGGCAGATTAAGTACAATAATAATATTATTAAAATCCCGCCATGCAGACTAAAACCTGGTTGCCAAATACACCTTCGGTTAAAGCAAAGTCGTCTGTTTTATCCAGGTGTATGTATTACACAGAGTTATATTACAGTCGATGGGACACGCCGGTTAAACTTTCCGCGTATGTCATTTCCAGGTGTATGTATTTAGTAATTTACCGGTGTATGTAAAAGACAGGTTTTACTGTATGTAGTTACAAAGCAAAATTAGTTAAAAAGACGTACTTATCGGTCGTTTGCCGGTAGGAATCGGTTAGCAACGTGCCCGGCGTCGACCGCGACGCTGCGCTGCGTCCCTCGAATACGCCGGATGCGGGGAACGCGGACCGCGCCGGCATCACCGGTCCGGGATAATCTTGCACCGCGGCCACGCTGTGCACGAAGACGCTACACACATACAGCACCTGCAACAGCGCACCTTGGTCGGGAAAAAAAACATTCAAATTTGCAGCATTACCAGAACAGGCTGCCGCATACAGATACGGCGTGTACTACAATATGGATTAAATACGTAATAAAATTCTAAGGAAATCAGAATATAATTACAATCAGATCACGGTAGATTCAGAGCAGATCGCAAAATCCAAAGAAAATGAAATGCTTTTGACAAAATCAAAATAAAATAAATTGAATAAATTTTAAATAGGCACAGTGAAATTCAAATAAAATAAAACAGACCAAACCGCGATCAAATACATAGAAAACAATTAAAACAATAAAATCAGAGCAAAACACCAGTCAAATAAATCCGAATAAATCACAATAAAATAATTTAAAAAATGCAAAAGCACAGAAAAATTAAAAAAAAATTAATCAGAACAAATCGCAAGCAAATAATCGAAATAAATTTACAAAAGCTTAATCGCGATAAAATAAAAATAAAGTAAGCTAGTATAAACCAGAAAAATTAAATAAAAAAAATTATGATAAGGATTTGGACGATAAATAAAAATCACGGTATTTCTACACGTACCGGCAAGAAGATCCAGCACTGACCGGCAGCCATAAGGATCCTCCTCCACCAGTTCATCTTTGCAACGTCTTCCCGGCCAACGTTTAATCACGCTGCTCGATCGCGGCTATTTCGCAATCGGGATGCACAACGGATGCGCTTATGGTTAAGGACAATTAATTACACAGAATGCGCAGTCAACCACGGTTTCCGCCAATTAACCACCGGCAACGGCTGATTGTCCGTTGACATAATATGTACTGCACGGCGCGGCACGCCGCATTCCTCATTGCACAGCATGTTTGTGATTTTTTCTCCCGGTGCGTTACGATGTTTTTGCCTGTTCGATTGCAGCTACTGATAACCAAGTCCGCGGCAGTTTGCATTTATTGTAACCGAATTATTTTACCGGCGTTAATTAGCTGTAATTATATATGATTTAATAAAATGATAGTAAATAAATACGTATTATAATGGGGTACCGGCCGTAATACACCACTATCACCGGAATTATATTGAATTATTTGTATAATGATATGCTATTATATTAAATTAAATTTTTTATACACTATAATTAAATGCATTAATAATTCATTATCTATAATTGCCAAAATTATTTTTACAATATTATACGAGTATATATTATGCTGCTGTTATTATATATTTATGCTGCTTTATTTTACTAATATTTTTTTTACTAAAATATACTAATATATAAAAAATATACTTTTACTAAAATATACTTTATTTTATACTAATATTTATGCTGCTTTATTTTACCGTAATACGAGTATATCTACGTGAATAAATAACAATTTATTAAATAACAATTTATTAAATAACAATTTATTAAATAACAATTTATTGCTCGTACATCCAACGAAATATTCCGACAGCGCAAAGTTCAGCATGACCTGCACAATATCGCATCAGCGATCAATGTCCGATGAGAAAATTAACCAGCCAACAATTAACACGGTGTGGAGAATAACAATTAACAAGGGAAATCGTCGATACTATACGCCAGTACCAAAATAACATTGCTCGTTAACCGCTATATAAAACATTAACAGTCGCCAGTACACGGATTAGCAATTACCGCGTTCCACCGTTAAATCCCCTTCATAAAATCCGCCCAGCCGGCATTTATTGGGGATTGGTGCGTTTCTCGTGCTCCTGGTGCATTTTCCGGTGCGAGGGCATCCCTTGGGGGCGACAGCGGAAGCCGCACGCCGCGCACGCCGGCAACTTCAACAACTTCGGGTCGGTGCTATCATGACCTTTACGGTGCTCGGCCTCGTCGACGCGTGTCCGGTAGATCCGCGGGCACTTGTCGCACTTCTTCGCGCGGGGCGTGGCCTTCGGGGCGACCACCCGCGGCCTGGGCGCCGCGCGACTGCCGCCCTTGCGGGCCGCCGGGGGCTTCTTCCGCTGGTCAGAACCCTCCTGTGTCCACGCATTCGGCGGTTCGCCCTGCGCCACCACCGCCGGGAGGTCCTGGGGCAGAGGCGACGGGTCTCGCGCCAGGGGGATCAGTACCGGTCCATCCGGGAGCGGCGCAACGGCTTCCGGGACCTCCGGAGGGGGCGCGGCGGCCTCCGGACTGTTCCTGACCGTGACCGCCCGCCCGCGGCGCTGGGGACGACCTCCCGGCGTTCGAAAGGGTAAGACGGGCGCCTGCGGCGACGGCGGTGGCGCGCCGATCCCCGGGAAGTGCTGCGGCGGGGCTCCGGGGGCGGGGCGGGGGCGGTGACGCTCCAACAGGCACCGGCAGCGGCGGCAGCGCAGGGGGCGCACCCCCGGGAAATGCTCCCAGTGGGGACACTTCCGGCAGTCGCACTGCATCGGGAATCGGCCTAAAAAGGGGTTGCGACCGATCGGCGACAGGCGCGGGAATAAGGAGAAACGCTGCACCATTCCCGTCACTTACAGTTAACAGGCGCAATTATACAAAAATTCCGTAAAATTAAAATATGTAAAATCAGGCAGCCGTCGCTGGCGAAAATGATCGCTAAAATGCAGAGTGACATGTACAGATCCGCTGGCATAAGGGTATGGCGTTGCGTAAGGGGATATAAACCCGGATGAGCGGCTATTTCTCTCATTGTGGCCAGCACACGGATGTACGGCGAAATAGCCACTACCGGCTTAATTAATGGTGACCAGCGTGCGGCCGTTGCATTTTCTTGTAAAAAACTGCAAATGTGCTGAATAATACGGGCCACGGTATTCAACTGTATTTTCTTGGCATGAGGCATGTTTCTCGTAAATGCCAGAACGGTTGGAGCTCGTTAGCACCCAGCAGGATTTTTCTACGAAAACCAGACGTATTTTTTATTGCAGCGATTTGACGTTTTCTATTCCATTGTTAACGTCGCCCTTGTCGCTGAGAATTTACACTGATCAGTTATCATCAGAAAAATGATTACAGTAATTGGCAATTTATTGAACTAAATACAGTATTGCCTGTTTTTAAATTATTTGCGAAATAACTAGGCGCGCATTACTGTAGCCGCCCGCACAAGTTGCCCCACAGAGTGAGGTATACGGATATTTGGCCTCACATTGCTCGCTGTTCAGCGCAGTGTGTGCAGGGAGAAGGCAGCGGCCGGATCTGCCAATGGAGCAACTTGTGCGGGCGGCTACAGTAACACAGCCAAAATTCTTAATTAATTAAGACGATACGGAGACTAAATCGATCAATAACACGCGTCGTTATAGCTTTGATTATTGATCTTATATAGTTTTATACTAATTATTTTGAATTATTTTTATTGTTTTTCGTACGACTACAAGGATTATTTTACAGGTTTTCAAACTTATTATTACAAAGTACTGCAATTTATTTAACTGGTAGTGTATAACGAATTATTTTGATTAAAATTTGGTCTTTTGATCACAACTTATCCGTATGGAAACAGTCTGTGTTGGTTAGAATAGTCTTATTAGTAAAAAAATATGCTTTTATTAATTTTTATCATCCCTAATATATTTTGCAGATATAGTAATGTAATTATCAGGATAATCACCGTCCAGCGAACCGTAGTGATTTTCGCAGTTAATTTCCCCTGCTTTGTTAAAAACCGTTGTGAACAGAATACAATCTGTACACGACGGTACTTTCTATAAGAAGACATAAGAAAACACTGTTAATATTGATCATAAAATCGCTATCATCATACAGCAAACTGCGAATATTACGGTATTACAGATGAACGGAGTTCCGTCCCGAAACGTAATTAAGAAACCGTCAAAGGTCATCCGTGGAGCGATTAGGAGCGTCGACGGCCGAACAGCTGCGAGTCCATGATCAGCGTGATCCACGGGGATAGCGAGAAGCCTACACACACCAACATCCGCCACCGTTTAATAATCATATGCGAAAGAGTCGCAGGGCACTTATATTTATGCATACACATCAGTATAATCGCGTGACCGCGTCGGTTATACAGTATAATTAACGGTATTATGTTGGTAGCGGTGTCAATGAATAGACGTTAATTACGTTAGACGTTTCTTATTACTGGGATCCTGTGAGCAGGTCACAATACTGACGTGTTTTCTAATTACACGGAAATGCCGGTATTTCACCGGAAACAGTAGTCTGTCTAGCCGAATGCTCTACTTGGCAGTGTGACGTCAAACAAACGAGCCATAGCGATACAATGTAATAAAATGTAGAAAGACAGTTTTCTATTTTTTCAATTTAAAAAATATTTTGTATTTAAAAAAATTAAATAAAAAATAAGTTAAAGCAAATAGGAAAGAATAAAGAAATATTTAGGTAATAAAATGATCGACTTGTATTTAAAAATGTAAAAAATAAAAGCGGTAAAACCCTACTCATCCTAAAAATTACTAGAAGAAATATGTAGTACTAAAAACTACAATGTAGTACTAAAAAAGCGGGAATCGGCTAGGCGGTCCGCGGTTTAAAAAGCAAAAAATAAAATGAACAAACAATGTGCAGCAGGAACAAGTCCAGTGCGCATTAATTGCCGACATTTTGGCGAAACAGGGAAACGCTTGTTGTCGCAGTATACGTTAAACCGACAGATCTACATCTTATTCTATATCGTACGTACCGGTCCAGCTCATGACGGTCAGCCCGGCGGCTACACTGGAGTGCAGCCTTAAACCATGGTGGATGGCGTCAACCGCCCCGGGGCGCCGGTACAGCGCCGCCAGCACCCCGTGCACGGAGATGGGCAGGTAGAAGACGCAGAAGACCACGCAGGTCAGCAGCGCCACCTTGGTGACGCGCACCTCCTTCGGCTGCATCCCCAGGACCCCGCGACACCCCCGGAGGTGGTCCAGCCAGCTGCGCCGGCACCGCTGACACGTCCCGCGCGCCGGTCCGGCCGGCACGCGCACCTCCATGTGCACCTTCTCCGTGGTGTTCCCCTCCGAGTCCGTCACCGACACCGTGATCCCGGAGGACTGCCGGGTAAAGGTCACCTTCCGGGACAGACTATTCCGGACAAGGATGATCTTCACCAGGACGCCGGCGTACGCCGCCAGCATGATCGTGGCGCAGGACAGCGGCGGGGCGGTTCGGATAAAAACGTGGTACGCCGGAGACGTCACCGTGGAGATCACGCAGCGCCGGACGCAGCGGCTGAACCCGTAGCGCCCGCCCAGTCCCAGGAGCGGCCACACCGCGACGACGACCGACACCGCCCACGTCCCGACGATCCACCACCCGGCGCTGGAGCGCCGCGGCGGCCGCGTCCGGTGTCCGCCCAGCACCACAACGGTGAAGCGGTTGAGGGCGATGGCGGCGTGGGACACCGGGGACGCGGTGACCACCACCAGGTAGCCGAACCCGGTCATCTGGCAGACGCCGTCCGAGGGCGGGGTGCCGGACAGGGAGGTGTAGGCGTGGACGGGGGCGACGATCAGGGAGAAGAGGAGACTGGTCAGCGCCAGATTGGCCAGGAGGAGGTCGACGGCCGAGCAGGTCGACGGGGTGAAGATGCTGATCAGGCTGGCGGAGGCGGGGTGGCGCGGGCGACGCGTTTTGAGGAGGCGGAGCAGGCATAAGCAGCTTCCGGCGGCGCCGAGAATGGCCAACGGGATCAGGAGGAGGCCCAGGGCGTAGCTGGCCGCGTCCGGGCCCGTGGCGGACGAGCAGTTGCCGTGGGGAACGGACTGATTAATCATTCCCGTGTTATTCATTCCGCTCGACATATATAAAATCACTTATGCAGCATTATCACTTAATGCGCATATATACGAAAAAAATCAATAATTGCGATAATATGTGGATATAATGCAATTAATCTAAAACGGCCGATTTATTTATCGGGCGCTCCAGTAACGATTTAATTAATATAACACTACGGCCGCTTAAAAAAAGCGAATTATTTATTTTAATATATTATAACGGCCGTTGGGAGAAATGAGTAGACTAAATATAGCGGCCGCGTTGGAAAATGCTTAATTAAAAAATAATTATTAACGACCGCTACGGAAAATATCCGGTTATGTGAAAGTGTCGATTAGAGACGCTGGAAAATCTCGGCTCGCTGGAAAATTCACGAACGGCCGTCCCTCATCATGCGCTCTCGCGCTGATGAGGGAAAGCGCTAATTATGACGTCGGCCGTGTACGCCGGCGCTTGTGAAAGGGAAACTGCCAGCGTCGCGGATTCCGCGCCGCTGCTCGGCGCGCTGTCACTGTGATTAGGCCTTTTATTTCCCGCGCCGGCGTCCCGCTATTTACCACCGCTAACAGGCCGCCGCGGGCCGGCACAATTAACACACGGTCTGACAGTTTTTTTTCCGCACTCTCTTCCGGCTCACCTGTCGCTGCGGTGCTACATGTTGGCACGGCGCTTCCGTTTTTAATTACTCGCCTACCGTGTTGCCTTGTACACAACACGTTCGCGGAAAGCGCATCACGCTGCTATCGCGCATTAACGCGCAATTAGACCGATGAAGGACAGTCGATTAAGCGCATCAGCGCGGTGCTGTGCCGCTTAGACGATGCGCGGTTGCGTCAGGCCGCCTACGCGCGGGCGGACGGTTGCGGCGCTGATCCCACTTCATCCTTATATCATCCTTTACGGTTTGTGCAGGCAAGTGTGGCGCAATGCCGGTTAATCACGCCGGCGCAGGCACACACAATACCGGCATTTTTAATGCATATAGGCGTTCAACACAGGACCGGCTAAATTTATCAAACGGGTGCAGCTGTTTTCTATAGTTCACTGACGCCGTTTCATGTGCACAATAAGTGCGTAAAGTTGTTTGCCGGGTAAACAAGGGAGAGGAGGTTATATAAGGTCATCTGGTTGAGCCGCAAAACACTGTTGATCAAGTCGTCCCGCGAGGCCGCACGCGTGGCAGTTAACGCAGCCGGTGTCCCCTTGATTATGCTGGCCTGGATGTGCGTAACACTAACATTTCCGGCGTTTGTTGTTCCGCTTCCGGTCGCCTGCGCCGCGGATGAAAACCGGGACGTCTAACGGAATCTTCTTCCAGTCAAACAGTCATTTCTGTGGCAGCTTCACTTGACTGAACAATTCTACGGGAATCTTGCGAATGTGACCTTTATCAAGACGTCTTTGAGCGCGAAGATGGCTGTCAGTGTTTTATGCATCGCAACTGTGTTTTTCTTGATGGTAATGTTGAGCCGGCACAGTGAAGCCTTTGTGCATCGTTATTCGAGCCCCTTCGAGCAGCTGGAGCCGATTCCGAGCAAACCGAGCGTCGGTGGATTGCCGGCACTGTCTCCGCCGTCCGCCGCCTCGCTCCGCTCGACACTGGACCGTTTCGCCGCGGCGCTAAGCGACGCCGGTGCACAGAATCGTCTGCGGGAGGATCTCGTGGAGAGCTTCGTTAAGGCGGCCGCGCGCCGACACCCACCGGCCGCGGACCGTCCCGTTCCCATCGTGCCGGTGGCGCCCATCCCGGTGGCCTCCGTTAAGACGGCCACCTACCTCAACCGCAATCCCCGCATTGGCTGATTTGATTTCGGAATTTTTTTGGAGTTTCTTCATTTAAATCCGGAATTTTTGCTCTTTTTGTTTTGGCGGATTTTATTCCAGAAAAGTTTTTATTGATTAAATTCCGGGAATGTTCCATTTTTTAAATTTTTATTTTTTTTAGTTTTGATTTTTCGAAAATTTATTGCGCGTATTTTTTATTTTTTTGAATTTGACCTTTGTAATTATGTTGTGCTTTTGACCGCTAGTGACCTTTGCAATTATACCATCATCATTCGCTCCGATTAATTCAGGAAATTCTGAACCGAGGAAACTTCGATTAAACCGCTGGAATACGTTGTTTGATGCCTAAAGAGCAATGCAGCCAGGAAAATTAATTTCTATGAGCGCTGAACGGATCCGGAAGCGCCGGCAATAATGCCATAATGGGTATCCGTTCCACCGGGATCCGGCTCCTACGCGCGCAAGGATGTGCGATATACCCAATTCACGTCGCTGAATAATTCGAACATATGATACTGTTCCCTGAAAGAAAGATAGATATACTGCCTAAATTTTATTTTGCAGTCGTGTACAGATCTGTACATGATTGTAATTATGCTGATATTCTGCTTCAAGTCTTGAACTGCTTGCTGGAGCAGTACTGAAATAAAATCTTGACGGCCTGCGGATGTTGTTTGAGTTGTTGTCTGAGCATTAATCGAACGTGAAGTACTCGAAATTTATAAAGCAGATTTTTTTACATTCGTAACATATCCCGATATATTCATATCCGCCATTTAATAGCGGAATTAATATGGAAAGTATCGCATATAAACGTAGGATATTACCGGTATCGGTTTCCGTTCGCACCAAACAGATTTCACATATATGACCGCTTGACCTTTTTGGCACGTTATTTATATAATTTATATAGGTAATTGAATAGTGGCGGTTACGTGGAAGTAAGCTAGCGCTTACGGGGGACACGGCCGAGTGGCCTTTCTCTCCGTGTTTGTCTTGCGCGGCTTGTTGGCCTCTTCCGCCTGTTTGGCGTTGGCGCGGGGGCAGTTGTTGACGCGCGTTAATCCCGTGCTGGATCATCGAGAACCCCACTCGTACTCTGTCTAATCATTGTCTCGCTCCCGCGGCGGCTGTTCCACTGAAACTGCGCATTGTGCACCATATCTATTCCCGGTTGACCTGTTCTAATAAACAGCTCCCTGATGTGGAATAAACGCAGTAATTTTCAAAAAGTATTGATCACAACAAATGCATCCGGATTAATTCCGGCCAGCTGCGTACTAGTATTACTTGTACCGGGTAATACGAGTATTTGTACCAGTACCCATAATTATAAGCACGTACGGTAATTAATATCAACATGCACGCCAATTTGCTATGCGTTGTGAAGATTTATCGGTTGGTTATGCATTGTGCTCATGTGTACGTATATAACAATCATATACATACTTTTTATGTATAAATATATAGGCATATATATAAGTATATGTATATAAATGTCTAGATATGTAAAGCATGTATGTATATATGTATATGACATGTATATATGTATATGTATACATATGTATATGTATATGATTGATATATATATGTATATGTATATATATGTATAAGTATATGATTGATATATATATGTATATGACGTTATGTAAGAAGGTTAAGCTGTACTCTGGTCGAATAACTGCTGGCCCTAATATCGCTTTAATTTAAATGAACAGTCGCGATTGTTATCGTCCCGGCAGCGAGCGTGCAGCGACCGGTGACCTTTGAACCGGCCTCCGCGGTTGCTCGCCGTGTACACCGGAATGAACGTACACCGGAACGTACCAGGCCCGCACCGGAAGTCGGCTGTGGCGTACGGAATAACGCGCGGCACGTGGACACACGCCTGGGTATTTACTGCACTGTAAGCTGCAGATATATGGAGCTAATCAGTCGGGCCGAAGGTGAATTACGGCCCGCTGATTAGTTATGCTGGGTATTTGGTCGTGGTATGTTTTCTACCATGAGATACGTATCCGTGTACATGATCATACCTCAAGGCTGCGAATGGAATAATAACTACGAGTACTGTATTGCCGTACTTGCTACAGGCCTGGTTTTGTCAATCAACAGGTTAATTGCAATTTGGACATGCGTTGTTGACTTGCGTTCCGGTACTTAATAATCCAGCCTCAGCCGGTTATACGCGATACACCAACAGTATTAGTATAATATTGTGATTCCATCACGGCGCTGCATCCTTTCGTTCGGCCCAGGCAGATTCTCCTGTAGCTACCTCCCTTCTTAAGCGGAAGCAGCAACGCCACGCCTACTGGTACGACTACCATCTGGTACATGCCTACATGGATCCGCGGCAGCTGCATCTGTATAATAATATCATATGGGAAGTTGTGGCTGCGTGTGTACTGATCAGCGCGCTCCCCGCGCTGTCTAAACATGCAGCACCAGACTGTGGGGCTGCACGTCCCGCCGCATCCGGACAGGATCCGCATTGCGCCGCCGACGGGGCGGCCGACAACGGCCAGCGGTCGCCTGATCAACACAACCATCCCATACGGCCTAATATCGTCCTTATTCTCCTCGACGACATGGTATACTCTGCTAATTCAAAAAGAGTTTTATTTCCATATATAAATATTACACCTATAATTTATATTATATATATAAACATTTAAATATGTTTAATATTTAAATTTAAATATGTTTATTTAAATAATAATTATATATACGTAAGTATATATAATTATTATATACGTATAAATATATATTATACACAAAAAAATACGTACATATAAATATATTAAAAAATATGTACATATAAATATGCACATATAAATATATCATACACAAAAAATATATACATATAAATATATTATATATAGTATATGATATTCCTAAAAATGTGTTCTATACATATAAATTGTATATATTTATTTATGATATAAATTCGAGCGCAATAATAATCCACTGGCTACTTATAACTGTGTGGCTGTCAGTCTTCGTCTTCGCAATGACGTACATATATACATATGTACAGGGCTTCAACGACGTCAGCTTCCGCGGCTCGACGCAGATCCCGACGCCGCGCATCGACCGGCTGGCGCGCGAGGGCATCATCCTGCACCGGATGTACGCGCACTGCACCTGCAGTCCCTCCCGCTCCGCTCTCCTCACCGGCAAACACCCCTTCACCATCGGTACATATACGCCATACTCTGTACATAGAGATACGCCCATCTTATTACAATTTCTTTTGCTAACTCATAAATAATAATCATAGATGTATAACATAACTGCACATCTAATACAGTACAAATATTTTCATTCTACACTATAACTTTGTTTAAATAGTTTGTGAATAATTCTGCAATCTGGTGCGATGGTCCTCTCATTTGTATGTATTTCTATTTGTAGAATTTCTTACAATCCTTATATATCCCTAAAACTAGACGAACTAATTACCTACGTATGACCTTGAAAAAACTCTCTTAAATTATCGACCGAAGCGTAGCGGAGGTCCTCTATGTTCAGCGTTTATGAAAAAAGTGGTGTCCGTCGGTCACCGCCACCTAATGCACATATGCGCGGGTTCACTATCAAACGCACATATGCGCGCTGGCCGTATATACTCAAGCCGCAAGCAAACTATGGTGTCCGTCGGTCACCGCCACCTAATGCACATATGCGCGGGTTCACTATCAAACGCACATATGCGCTGGCCGTATACTCAAGCCGCAAGCAAACTATGGTGTCCGTCGGTCACCACCTAATGCACATATGCGCGGGTTCACTATCAAACGCACATATGCGCTGGCCGTATATACTCAAGCCACAAGCAAACTATGGTGTCCGTCGGTCACCGCCACCTAATGCACATATGCGCGGGTTCACTATCAAACGCACATATGCGCGCTGGCCGTATATACTCAAGCCGCAAGCAAACTATGGTGTCCGTCGGTCACCGCCACCTAATGCACATATGCGCGGGTTCACTATCAAACGCACATATGCGCGCTGGCCGTATATACTCAAGCCACAAGCAAACTATGGTGTCCGTCGGTCACCGCCACCTAATGCACATATGCGCGGGTTCACTATCAAACGCACATATTACAACGGAAGGCTGACGGTGAGCTCCCGTTTACTGTGGGTTGGCTACACGCCGCGCCACGCCGCTAAACAGACCGATGTTGGTGGTCTAATATTACGCAACTGCGAAACCCACAAACAGGAAGAGATCTTACTGTTCCTCTGGATGAAGGGAAATGTGCAGAAGATAAAACGAGAGGTCACGACGAACGATCGATCGAGAGGTTGCCCATGGACAAATTTATTAGAATTCAGAAAGTTACTCCATCACCGACTGATCAGCGTCCAATTTCCCATTTCACATCACACCGTTAAACACCGTTAACACACTAGCCAGCTGTGACTCATCAATCCACACAGACTGACCAATCAAATAAAGTTCTAATTATTTGAATTTAACCACAGTCGCTATATCCCCGCCGTAAGCGGTTAATTAGTGAATTAACCAAGACACAAAAAAGAGATTACAAAATCAAATACTGTTATTCCAGCAAACAGAAATGAGCAAATTATTAGTAAAAATCCATGGAAATTACCGAATTCCATTCCGTCCATGCCTGTCCGACACTTCACTTGTCCGCTTCAGAATCTTCGTCCTTGCCATTCTGTCCGTTACGTCGCTCCTCGCGCCATTCCTCTTTCTCTTTCTTTCGCTGATCCATCATCACTCGCAGGTCATCTTCCAGCTGCTTTTTCTCCATTTCTTCCTTCTTCTGCTGTTCCTGCATACGCTTAATCTCCTGCTGGTATTTCTCCGTTTCCGCTCGTAATCGTGCCAGCTCATCCAGATCTCCACTACGAATACGCTCTTCACTCTGACTACGCTGCACGTCTGCTGGTAATTCCGTCACAATACGTTCTCCGATCTTACGAATATCACGTTCCATTTCAACATGATGTCCACAGCTCCACATGTCAATCGAAGCATACTGTCTACGTCGATCTGCATACCACTGTTGTCGCATACGGTCCAACTCACGATACATATGTAAAACATAATCACGGCTCGTTTCATCATATGTACCATCCCACATGCAGTCTCCTGACCAAAACGAAATATCATCCGGAAAGAATCGGTTCGGGTTAAAGTACAAGGGCGGTTCTTCACTACGTCGGAATCGTCCTTGAATGAACTTGAACACTTGCCCGTACCGATTTTCCCATCGAGTCGTACCGTCCTTCTGGGATTCATACGTAATCCACGAAGTTGCAGCAAAACGATCATAAAACCAAGTCTCCACATACTTTGGACTGAGTGACGTCTTTATAGGCTCTGGATACGTTACGAATCGTTTCTTATTTTCCGCTTCATTACTTCGCAATAACTCCAAAAATGTCTTCAACTCTAACACGTGCCATCGTTCCGCTCTACAAGTCTCCGCTTTGTCTGGACTCTCTTCGCTTTGCGCCAGTGTGTTAAGTCCATCCGCCATGCGATTCAAATCTGCCATCACGATACCATACTGCTCTTTACGGAGACGTTTTTCCATACTCATGAATGGATGAATCGGCAAATTCCCAGGTACACCCGGTTGGATACGGTACTTTACGTTCTTCAGGACAGCTTCTCCCTGGCGTCTACGCGCAATGTCCGCTTGCTGCTGATTTGGCTGCAGCATACGCTGTGGATTTTGCTGGGTCATACGCTGCTGCTGATTGTGCATTGATTGCACTGGTCCACTGTCCGCGACACGCTGTGCCATTGTCCGGTTTTCCATCTGCACATACGATTTAAAATAAGTATCTGACTCAACATACTTTTGTTCATCAGAATAACATACATTACGATCTGCGGTACGTTGCTGTGTCTGCTCTCGCGGATCGGAACGCATCATACGTGAGTTAACCGTGGCTTCGCGTCCATCCTTGAAAGTAATCGGAGGATGTGCTCTACGCTGCTCTGGCTCAAAATGCTCCACGGGTTCATTACGATACACCGGCGTCATCATGATGAATGGCATATTGTCCCGCTCCTCATCATCACCACGATCCACGTGCGACGCTGGTGGCATACTAGTCTGCTGCTGACGCTGACCACTCATACGCTGCTGTCGACGCTGGGATTCGAGCTCTCTGCGGTACTTTTCCCGATCCCGTGCTTCCTCCTCTTCACTCCACGAAATAGACTCTGTCAGACGATCTACTTCCTTACGCGCACCACGGAGACGTTCTTCGGCTATTTCTATGTCAAGCTGATCTCCATAAGCTTTAATCTGTCGCAACTTCTCACTACGCTCTTCTACTTCACGACGCCATTTATCGCGCTTCTCCTTGTCTTCCGCACGCCACTGCTGTCTTTCCCGCTCACGCTCTGCACGTTGCACCCGCTCACGTTCTTGTTGGTCACGTTCACGTTGTTCACGTTCTCGTTGGAGATTCAAAGCATCAGCATCCTTACGCTCCCGTGCCATCTGCTCCATACGACGCAGGCGCTCTTCTGCAGTGTCGTCATTATTTCGCTCCATTTCTGTTAAGAAACAAAACATACTTTGTACAGATGCACAATACGTACTGTAGTAAGTTTACTACGAGTATTTCATTTCATTTTCTTATGAATTACTGGACAAGGTTTCGCAGACACTATACGAGTATTCTTGACGGACGAAACTATCGTCGGCTTATTATTTGCGTTATCTGTTTTAGTAGCTATACGCTCACTTCTACGTCTGATAAAGTCATTTTTGCTATCTAATACATCCGGATCGTATTCTTTATACGATTTTAATTTATCCATATGTACAGTAATTATCTGACGACTACGACTTGATTTATCCATTGACTTCAATTTGACGTTAACTACGTCTGTAATCTCTAAAATTTTGTACGGTCCTTTATACAAGTACTGTAATTTTTCAGTACTGCCAACTGTACGCTGCTCATCTTTCACCCATACGTAATCACCTACTTTGTACGTACTATCTTCACGATTTCTATCATAATTCTCCGCATTCTTTTCATGCATACGGTCAGTCAATATTTTTGAAAATTCCGTCGCAATTTGTAACGCTCTGAACATTTTGTCAAAATACTGCTTTACTGTTACGTTATCAGTATTTTCCGACTTAATTTCCTTGAATAACGTGTCTACTGTACTGAGCGGCTGCACACCAAACATTAAGTACGATGGTGCATATCCAGTAACGCTATGTACTGTACTGTTATACGCATACGTAATAAAATCTATGTAATTTGTCCAGTCATTTTGCATCTTGTTTACGTATGCAGTTAATTTCTCAGCAATAAAACGATTCATTCGCTCTACTTTGACATTCGACTGCGGATGATAAGACGTCGTAAATCTATGCTGAACTTGCATAATACGATTCAATTCTCGTACGATTTTGCTGATAAAATTCGAACCACGATCTGTCGTCAAATGCTTTGGAGGACCAAATTTTAAAATAATCTCCTTTAAAATAAATTCTGCGGTCTCTTTCGCATTCGTAGTTTTCACTGCTGCACATACGACAAATCTACTCGTGTTTTCCACAGCAACAATAATATGTTTAAAACCTTCTGCAGTTTCATGAAACGGTCCAAGTATATCTATTGACCAACATTCTAATTTCTCATACGATTTTAACTGTTGTAAGTACGCTGTCGGGGGTATATTAATCGGATTGCGCTTCTGACAATGTTCACACGCTTCCACATAATTACGTACGTAATGCAACATTCTTGGCCAATAATACCGTTCAAGTACACGCTCTAAAGTACGTTGTAAACCAACATGTCCACCACTCGGACTATCGTGCATTACGTATAATATGTCAGCACGCATAGTACTGGGAATACAGTACAATAATAAGTTCTTGCCTTTCCTGCACGCCTTTTCATCAGAATTTCATCTACTATCCTGAACATTTCTAATCGCTTCTGTTGACGCTTCGTCGCTCTCTCATAAGCCTCTTTATCTGTAAGTAACATAATTATGTTACTACAGTATATATCTGTACGTTGTTCTTTAATTAATAATTCGTCTGCCTTATTATCCATAATCGAATGATACATAGGAATCTGATATTCCTCTTCTCCACAAGGCTTTTCTACGCTATATCTGCTGAGATGATCGGCATCTTGATGTGCTTTACCACGACGATACGTAATT